AAAAAAAAAAAGACAGACTAACATACAATATTTTTTGATAATAGCTATATATATATATATATATATAAAAACAATTTGGGGGGGGGAACTGTGACAAAGTGTAAAAAACCTTGCTGCCTTCAGCATGGTCCATCAAAAGACACGCTACTGTTTTGCTGGTGGTTGTTCCAAAGAGGTTCAACTCCGAGACTAATAAAACAGTAAGTTTGCCATTTCTATGGCAATCTTTTGCACCGATTCAGTGTTCCAGTACTTCCACAAAGTGTGGATGGTCCTGCACATGCCTTCACCACTATAATCAAATCCAGAGTTTGTGTGAGTGTTCTGACAACTTTCAACATCTCTGACCTGCACATTTATTTGCATCGAGTCCTCTGGCGAGAGAGTTAATACAACAATGACAGGTAAAGGATATTACTGAAAGTCTTTAGCTGGAGCTCTACACAGTTGCAACTACTGGGTGATGGCCATTCTAGCACAAACCCATGAACAATTGTGTTGTTCCTTGTCCTCCAGTGATAACAAAGTAGGTCTGTTTAGATACAGACCTGCTTTCCCCAATCCAAAGTGGGGGGTCAAGAAAAGGAACCCTAAACATTGCTTGCTCACAATTTCAACTTGACACCTAGCTACAGCTGTCTGGTTATCCAGCATTGCAATCTGAAGAAGAAGAAATGTAAGAAATTGAGCCTTAGCTCTTGGAATGTACACGCACACCAAGACAGTGACTCGGTAGCAGAACAACAACAAAAAAAAAACAGCATTAGTTTCTCTTGAGCTGAAGAAGTACAGCATTGACATAGCTGCTCTCAGCAAAACCTGTTTTGCTGGATCATCACCACTTGAGGAAGTGGAAGGACGTTATGTATTTTTCTGGTCAGGTAAGAGGACAAATGAGGTCCGCCAGTCATATTTTGGCTTTGCAATCCAATCTTTCCAAAAGGGCCTATCAAACCATATCATGACACTGACACTTGATCTAAATCACGATAAAAGCACTACACTTATCAGTTGCTATACACCCACAATGAACAGATCTGTGTAAGAGAAAGATGACTTCTACAACCTCCATAATGTCATCTTCCACATCCAACATCCAGGTCTGGGATGGTGTACTGGGTCATCATGGTGTTGGATGCATGAACTCAACTGCCTCCTTTCTATTTTTCTTTCATGTTCCTTTCATACCACCTGCTGCCTTTCTGACCATTGTCTCCTTTGCAGAGAATTCAATATTATACTCACCAACACCTACTTTCAGCAACCAAACTGCCACAAGACATTGTGAATGCATTCTTGATTGAAACACTGGCATCTTATTAACTATGTCATCACCAAGAAGAGAGACTATAAGGGACATCAATATCACACATTTCCTTCATACCACCTGCTGCCTTTCTGACCATTCTCTCCTGTGCAGTAAGGCTTCCTTTTGTCTTGCTCACAGGAGACTGCAGAAGAACATCTGTGCCTAAGCAAATGAATACCATGGCTTTAAAAATCATCAGAAAAACAAAGTGAGTTCTGCAGCAAGCTGGACACTGCTCTCAAGATTACTAATGATATCAAATCATCATGGAAAACACTTCGCAATACAATGCATACTGCTTCTTTGGAGCTGTTCAGACTGTCAGTTCAGAAACATCAGAACTGATTTGATGAAAGCTAATCATAGAGCAAATGCACAGTTTACATGGATTAGTGAGAAGAAAAAAAAAATAACTCTTCTGCAAAGACTCAGTACCTGAGTTTTTAGAAGGACTGACTAGGTGAGTAGGTTGTCCCTTTGTTTGAATGTGATGAGTAGTTGTGTGTTTAACAACTGTACATTGTAATAAAGGATGGATTGTGTCCAGATGTTAGTGAAGAATATGGCTGAATTTACTTTCTGGGGAAAGTGCAGCAGCAATTCCTGTGGTGAGGTGTGCAGTGTGAATGCCTGAAACTTAACTTTTTGTCATCTAATGAGGTTCTTTTTGCCAAATTCACAGATAATTTGTAGTGAACTCTCACCTCAAACCAAGATCAACCTAAGTATTTTTTCACCAAACATCATTATAATCGATCCATTTGCTGCCTGTAGCTTATACGCTGAAGTTGAGGCATTTTGCTTTTTACATACTAGATGTAACTGGGGTGACACTGACCTGTGCTCTTGTGTCTATAAGAAATTTCATGTTAGTCAATTTGACAAGCAAATAATATATGCGTCAACTCTGTCATGTTATTTGTCCAATTAATAGTTGTGCTCATTAGCTTGCTGATTCATTTCCCTGGAGCAGCAGCTTATTGCATCTGTGGGCTTTGTTACCAAGTTCTATGATGCCAATTTAATGTATCATCTGAATGGAGATTCTAATTGGAGATTATGTTGTGATTTCTGTCACAAGTCCCTGATCATTATCCTTTACCACTTATTAGCAATTTCACTATATCACTGCATCGAGAAACAACTTTTTGTAGAATAGATTTGCTTTGGGCTTATCAAATTCTGGTCGCAGAGGATGATATATGCAAGACAGTGGTCACTATACTGTTCAGCTTTGAAATGCACTGCAAACATTTAAGAAATTTATCAATGAAGCTGTTTAAAGAAAATGTCGCAACTGCAATTTTCACACACCAGACAAGTGGTTACACAAATTTATATATCCCAAAAAACTTGTACAATTACAAAATTTTTTGAATGCAATGATTTCGTCAAAAAACCATTAGTGCCATGTTATAATAGTCTCTATATCGTTTGTGACAGTGCGGATAAATATTTTACAATTCTGCCCAATGATAAGATTGGATCTATATCCATTGACAGAATCAAGCCACCTTACATTGACACAAAAGACATGACAATTTCACAGTTAACATTTTCAGGGGATATTACATCACGCACATCACAAACACAACAGGTGACAGTGAAGATCATTCCACAAAACATAGCACCATGTTCCACAAAATCTCGAAGAAGAGTCTCATGGCCTAAACATTTTAAAAACTATGTTCCTCTCAACTAACAATCTTGAGGGTGAGGTATTTTCAGGTCGACTGGAAGTTGCTGTCTTAAAGTCAGAAGTTGAATGACCAAAATCAGACATTTATGCATAGGCTCTAAGTAGCACTTCCAGCAGCATTTTAAAATATTCAAAAATAAAATTCATATTATTATTCAACCAGTGACAGCACTTCTCTCACATTTTTGAAGGGCTTCATTTTGAGCCAGCACCTGCTACCTGGAAACTATAAATACCATACAAAAAAAAAAAAATGGAAAGAGTTACAGGGAAGGGGATTCAGTGTTGTGAACTCAGACATGGACCACTAATCAACTGAATCGTCATTTCCCGTTTTGCTGACAGATTCTCCAATAAAAGTTAAGTACCTACTTTTCTCTTTTCTTCAAGGAATTTATTAAATACACATTAATGTGTGTAAGTGAACTTTCCCTTCTTCTCAAGGGTTTTATTAAACAGACCACACAGTGTAGAAAACAAATAAATGTTTATTTGTTATTAAAAAAAATCTATGTCTAGTTTCATTCAAAAATTCTCTTGTTTAATTTTAATACCTTGCATCACAGCTACCTAAATTAGATTGTGCACCAACAACATATCACAACTCCCAACAATATCATACAATTATTATTGATTAAAAGTTTTATTTGATTTTGATTTTTAAAACATGACTGCAGCCTCTCTATAGTTAAAATTGTATTTCTAATAATATCTGTCTTAAAAAAAGAGAAAAATTAATAGTAGTAGTAGTACATTAATCTAACCGGATGAGTATCTTCATCATAATTATAATCACAGTTTTTCAGCAATTGAATCTTGCAGGTCTTCTTCAAGAGTTTGCAATATTTTCTAACTTTTGGGGAATTACAAACTGAACCCAATATTCAATCCATAAAAGCAGATTGTTCAGATTCCACTGGGCGGGGATAGGTGAAACTGCTTAAGGACATCTTTTATCAATTCTTCTTAGTTTAATTTTTCATGCCACTTTTCCATTCCCAACGTATTTGATGATCATTCCCTCTTTGAAGGTTTTACTTCCACATCATCAGGCCACTCTTACAGAGTCTTAATTTTCCATTTTATTTTTCCCGCAAAAAGGAAAAGCAAATACTCACAAGAGAACATTGCCTAAACTTATCCCAGATCAAAAGTTTATTCTGACTAATATCTACAGTGAATAACTCTTCAGTATGTGGCTTAGTCTATTTTTCACTGCCCATGCTTTGAATGAATAAAGAAAAAAGAAATTTTATTTACTTTCTTGCCAACACTGAAACTGAATAAATGAGAGAAAGGATTTTTATGAACAAACAGAGAACAAGTGCATTGTGGGTAGCAAAAATGTCTACATAAATCAGAGCTGGGGGGGGGCGTCAGTTTGAGTCTTTTTTTTATACTAACTAGACACAAGCACTGTGACTATCACAGTTGAAAGAAAGGAAGGAAAAAAAAGTGCAGAAAGGAAAGAGTGGTAGAAAAAGAGAAAGGGATAAGTTAAGAGTAATCAAGGAAAAAAAAAAAAAAAAGAATCAAATCTTGCAGCCCAAAATACTCTTTTTTTTTCTCTGTCAAAGAAATCTGTCAGCATGAGAGAGTTCTTCCTTTTGTCATCTACATTTAAAACCTTATTAGAAACTATTTAAAAAAAAATGTAAGCCAATTTGAACATTTCAAGGGATAATGAAAATACTTATCTAAAAACTTGAAACATTAAATAAATCCATTCTATTTTTAAATAAAAGCAAATAGACTGAAACTCATGTCGTTTTTTTTTAAAACTGTCTGTACATATTCTTAAAAATATGGAACAGAAAGAATGGATCGATATAGATTATCTTTTCTTGTAGATTATGTAATTTTGTAAGAGAGTTTGTGGCAGTTGAACAACTGAAAGAAAACGAGTAAAACTCCTGAAAATAAAATACAGTGAAGAAAAATGCTTGAATGAAAATTGACAAATAAATGCCAGTGAAAAGGTGCCACCCAGGATTACTGAAATACCAAATGCTGCATTTCGTCAATTCCATATTGGCCTTTGTATTCTTCAAACAGATCATGGAGACTTGTTAAGTATTTCTGATGATATTCATCTATGTCTTCTTGGCTTGGATTCTCAATCTGTGGAAGCTCAATTGGTTTCCCTACTAAAAAAAAAAAAAAAAAAAAAATTATATATCAGAAATTAAACAAAATTGCAATAATGAAACAAAGCCCAAAACAAAAAAAAAGTAGAATATCCAGTATGTTTACATGTGCATTCAGATCACTACTATTTATTGTACATAATTTCAATTTTTTCTACTTTCCTCTAAAGTACCGAGACTTTATGAATTTAAGTGCAGTACTAGATTGGCAGCAAGGTCTTATTTTAAAAATCGAAATGGCTATATAAATTCTATGTTAACAGCTTCTTTTATCACACTTCTCACTTGTGGGACTCTCTTCTGGCTTCTTGCTTTCCAGTTAACTTTGATCTCCAGAGATTTAAATGTAATGTCATTCATTATCTTCTGTTCTTTTATTGTTCTCTCTCCTTAATAGCATCCTCTTGTAATCTCTTGTATCTTAGTGGCTTTATTGGCTTGCTTGGGGTAAAATGATTTTTAAAAAAAAAAAAAAAAAAAAGATTAAAAGACTTTAAAACATAAAAATATATTGTTATAGCGAAAGTATTAAGAAACAGGAAAATTTCATTAGAAACAAAAAGAGTACTGAACTATGTAATATTAATCCTCCTTTATGGCAATGGATGCTAGTCAATTTCACAGTTGAAGTGGAGACTTGAAGCAACAAAAATGTAGCTCTAGAGAAGGTTGCTGGAAAATGTGAGCAATGAGGAAATTTTAAGAAAAATGAAAATAAAAAAGACACTTGTAAGAAAAGGGCTTGGAGAATTTGACACCCACAGGATATACTGAAAGCAAGAGAAACAACAGGAAACAGTGAGTAACCTACTGTTGCAGGTATAAACATTTTTCATGAGATTTTATAAGCTCCTGGTACATTTGGCCCACTAACAATTTTGGTGGATTTGTATAAATCCAAAGGAATATAATAAAACATAGAATTTGAACAAAGAAATATTAACAAATATATTGACAGGATATTTTTCAAAAGAAAAGATGAGAAATGAAATGAAATTTGAAAAGTTCAAAGCAACCTTAAGTGTTTGTAGTTGACTACTTACATTTTGCAGGAATGAAAAGAATACATCTATTTGCTATGAAAAGTCACCGAGAAAGAGATAAAGTCTTTCAAATTTTGCACTGCCTATAAATATTGCTGGAGGCGATAATTCAAAAATCTCACCACAGTGCGATTTTATCATCAGAGGGAGGTAATTCAACACTACCTAACAAGTTTGTGTAAATAGATGACAGAACAAGAACTGGAAGAGATAGTAAGAGACCAAAACTAGTAGCTAGGCGGCACTTTTGGTCCACAGTGAGTTTTCAGAAAAGAAAAAAAAAACAGTAGCTTAATTTCCATAGATAAAAGATAGGGTTTGAATGAAGCTGATTTGTCTTTGATATGGCTGGCTCAAAGCCAGCTAGCCAGCAAAAAAAAAAAAAGTTGTCCCCAAAATGCACTGTCAGCTGGTGGGGATAAACCCCACTTACAAAACAGAAGGAAAAGGTGTGAAAAAAATTTGAACATTTTTAAAGGGATTGATGTGGGGTTGGATTAAGTGAATTTAGTGAATCCACAGTTTTTTCGCACCTATCTGAGAAGTCCAGACTTTGGCATCAATCTTTGATTTTCCATGTCTGAACCGTTAGTGAAAACAAAATTAAATAAGTGAACCAATTGTTTTATTTTTTTTAATCTTATCATAAGCCTAGCTTTAATACTGATATAAAATTATTACTTTTCATAAATTATAAAATAGATAAATAAATTGAAATCATTTTTAAGGATATCACATTCATTTCCAATTTTTTCTGGAAATATTGAATGGAAATTTAAAAGAAAATTAATATTTTTTTTCAAGTGAGAAACTTTATTTAAAGCCCAAAAATGGGCATTTTTTTTCAGTTTTTCAATTTACAAGTTTTCATGTTAGTAAAACAATGCAATGTTTTTTTTGTTTAGATAGTTTTATTAAGCAAAACAGTCTAAGAATTAAAAGTATGATGACATGTATTCCAGTTTTTAAAAGTGAAATTAATTTTATCAGACTTTTACTACTTTGCTAATAATAACTTCAACTATTGTATTTTCCACATTATAGTCAGCACCTGTATATAACCTGCACTCCTATAAACTCAACTATCTGGACATAACTAGTTCGATACTGACGACTGGTTTTTGTGATGTTCTCCTAACCCCGGCCACTCATGGTTCGAAGACACAGTTTGTATATAACCCACACCCTACATATTTCAAGAAAAAAGTTGTGGTTTATAGTCTGGAAAATACATTACAGAAAACAAAATAATTTTAAAAGACACTGCATTTTTTTTTTTTTTTACATTGTTAAAAGAAAAATGAACTGTGTTTCTGTTAATGTGGCATTTAATTTATGACTCCTCACTTGGTAGAATTGAAATAAATATTAAAAAACTGATAAATTATGAATTAAAAGTACAATGTGTTTTTTGTTTTTCTTTTTAAACAAAACAGAGGGTATATAAACAAAAACAAGTTATCTTTCTTTTAATACCGTAAAAAGTTTTTAAAGTTTCCCGATTTCAAAAAAAAAGTAACATCTTCATTTTTTTACATATCCCTAGTTTTATTTTTAAAAGAAATAAACAAAATTGTAGTTTTTATTTCATAATTTGTCAGTGATAATCCACGTTAACAGAAACATGGGAAAAAAACCTGGTATCATACAGGGATTAAATTTTGAGAAATGGATAAGAATATTAAAAATTGATGAGTGTATGAATAATTTCATTGTTGACTATTTATAAACATTTTTGTAATGTTGTATTCCTTCTGAGGAGGAGTGACAAAAACACTAGCTATGCCACTGACCAAACCATGCTTAGAACTACAAAGGATAGAAAGCTGTGGAGAGCAAATATTGCCCATGTCCCAAAGGGACACACCACATAAGAAATAAGAATGACTACTTGACAGAGTGAATTCCAAGGAACAGGTTGCTGGTAAGATGAAAATGTCACGGCTAATAAAACAAGGGAGGTAATCTTGATAAGCAATCTTAAGTTCAATAGAGAGAAAATTATGAAGCAAGTTAAATGATAAAAAATTGATAAGATTAAAAAGACAGTTGTTATTACTGCTACCAAAGTTATGACGAAAATGAAAAGGCATCTTCGGTATGATGATAAACTACATCTGTGTCCTGGTTAAGATGATAAACTACATCCAACAACAAGGAGGTTTTGAGGAGCGTAGAACCACCTTTTAATTCCTGTTGTCCCCAGGTCCACCATCTTTTGAAGAAAATTATCAGCAATACATTTTTGAAAAAAAAAAAAAAAAAAACTATTACCAGAAATAAAAATCTTGTTGGCATTAAATAACCTATTGAAGTTGATCTATCTATAAAAAGGCAGTGTGTGTGTGTGTAACAAATGCACGGCCGCAATTTTCGATGGATTTTCACCAAAATTTACATGCACATGCTCCAAGTCAGCAGGAAGGCCAAGACCAACTTTGCATTTCCCAACTCCCATCGATAGCGGGAATAATCGATTTTTTCATGCTTCTATGGCAGTTTTCATGTAGTTTGCAGCCATTTTGTACTGGCCAGAGTGAAAGCCTATAGCTGGCTGCCATGAATAGGCAGGAAGATTCTAATGGTCAGCATGAGAGCCAACAGATGACTGACATGAATGTTAACTAGCATGCTAACATGCAAAAAAAAAAAAAAAAAAAAAAGATAGCTGCATTCGTCACAAGTGGGAAAAATTTAAATCTGCATGGCACTTTACTCCAATTGGCTCATTCACTCAACGTTGATTCTGATTTCGCAGAACTGGGTTGGGTGTGAAAAAGTATTTGTTAACATTCTTTTTTCATTTGGTTTTTCCAGTTACAAGACCTTTTTTAAAGCTGATCGTTTTGTGTTCATTTTGTTTAGTTCTTTTTTTCGTAACAGATTTAATGTTTAGTATAGAACTTAGAAAAAATTCACAGTGTGAGATAGGCAAGAAGTAAGGCATGTAGCAACATCAGCATAGCAAAGGGCACTCCTTTAAAGGCAAGGAAGGGCAAAAATATTTTAAGTCAAGTGATAGCGATTGCTGTATGAGTCGTACGATTTTTTAATCAAGCATGGGCAACGCCAGGCCATGCTGCTAGTACGTCATAAAATAAAAACATTTTGGAAAAAAAAAAACTACCAGCTATACATTTTTTGAAAAATTACCAAAAATAGATTTTTGAAGGAAAAAACATCACCAAGAATAAAAATGGTCAGCATTAAATAACCCATTGTGGTTGATATGCCGTAAAACAAAACAAAGTAAACCGAAAAGAAAAGGACAAAAAGAAAAATGAAAGTTAAAAAAAAATAAATAAATAAAAAAAAATAAAAACCCTCTTAGAAGTATCATTTTTACCAAGATAAAGGTATGTTTAAAAAATGTTGAAATAATTTTAGTCTATACAAATTCTAACCAGGATACACCCATATATATAATTATTTTTAAAAAAAATATGATTCCTTTGCTACATAAGAGTTCTCATGTTTCAAAAACAAGAGCTAAAAACCTCAATATAATTATTAAAATTAAATTGAGTTAAAGTATCAAGCCCTGTTTCATCCTCAAGCGAAAATTTAGGGCAGTGATTTGTGACCCTATTTTATCAACATTTGCTTTTTTTTTCTTTTTTTTAACCTACACTTATATATGTTACAAATTAAAATAAGCACAGCTATGAAAGGATGAAAAATTTTTTAAAATTTTAGATTTTGACATCATTCTGAGTTACCTTTTTTTTCTTTCTTTTTTTTTTTTCATCTAAATCTGTGAATTTGTTTTGCTCATGCTAAGTCTTGAAAAAACATAAAATTCACTCTTTTTTTGTCAATAAATTTGAATGTGTTAAAATTATTCAAATTTTCAACAAGAAAAATCTCGAGTTAATAAAAATTATTACAAAACAATAATTTATTTAAGATGGAATGACAGGTTTCTAATTTGTATTTAGATACATTGCATTTATTTTCAACTTTTCTAGTTGAATTTTTCACCTATGCTTGCATATGATACATTATTGTAGATAATTAGATTACAATAAAATTTGTCTTTCATATTAATACTACCTTTATGAAAATGGAGTTGTAGTAGATTAGGGGTACCATATCCATAGATTCAGTGGGGAAGGTACATGAGACCCTAGTACCAGCCATGCTAATAGGTTTTATGACCATCTCAGTGAACCTGCATTTAGTTTGCATAACTGCGGGATACACATGTATATTTCATTTGTATATTAAGTCATAACTAATGTAAAAGTAATAAGTACATAAATATACTATACTTACCAACTGTATTAATTGGTTTTCTGAACGGAATAATACCAAAAGTGTAATTAAAAATTCCTCTGCCATGAAATATAGGCGGGGAAAATCCTAGAATTTTGGTGAGTTTTAACTGCAGTGTCAGCATCCATTGTCTTTTTTCTGATCGCATTTGCAAGAAAAGGTCATTTTCACCGAATGAATATACTGGAAGAAGATGTGCCCTGTTGATAAAAAGGGAAAAATGTTTGTTATATATGAACAGAGATATTGTTGGTTATTTCTAGGAATGACGGCTAAAAACCTCCCCTCCAAAAGCTTATAAACAAATCCTACACACACATGGTGAGATTTCCTACTTGCTAATAAAAATGAACAATTCTTGGTCTTATACCCACAATTTTTTTTTCTTGCCTTAAAGACAGAAGGCTATAACCACTTGACTGTATCCCTTTTGCATGTGAAGACTATTGTAAACATACAATGTGACTATCACCCAAGTTTTCTGCTGACCAGTCAATGATTAATCCATGTAGCATTCCGATTCTCAAAGAGCCCACGGCATGCTCGCACTATAACAAGGTAAACACCACATTGAGAAATAATAGCATAAACCCAGTTTCCCATAAAGTACGTATTTTTATTTGGAGCTTTACTATTTTGTTTCAATGCTAGATGACACTTTGGACAGCTTCTTCTATGTCCGCTCATCTCCTTACCAACTCTTTGCTTATTTACACAACCCAAAATATGGCTGGCAATATGAATGGATGGCATTGGAACCATCCAACAAACAAGTCCATATCCTGTCAAGGGCATACCAAGAGTGACACTGATCCCAAGCATGACTGTTAGTATAGACCAGTACCCAGATACACTCGAGATTGAGAAAAAAAATAACATCTTCCTTTTCTATGTGGGTGTCCATAGTATCACACTATTAATTTCCTGTATTTTAATTTAATGAACTTTTGTTAAGAAATAAATTCAGTTTAATTTTTTTTTAAAAATGTCACATCCAACTCAAAATTTATAGAAGTATAGTAGTACTATAACTTTCTGGAACCTTCTAGAAATTGGTTTGGTTTATTTGTAAGTTTGTATGTTATACTATAGATATGTATTTTAACACATTTTAGTTTATAAGTACTATCCAACTGCATCATAAGCAAATTGAAAAATAAAGCTTCTGGAATATTTGATTTATTTACCCTTATTGTGTATGTGGTTAAATCAAATTTTTGATTTCTGAGTGACCTTTTTCCAGACTAAAATGAATTAATACCGTTTCATTATTTTGAACTACAGTTCATTGATTTATGACACAAGAAGACATGGTTACATACACAATATATATATATATATATATATATATATATATATATATATATATATATATTGTCATTCACAGACTGTTTTGCTGCATCACAGCTCATTAGGGTGACTAGGCATCCGATTGCTTCAAGTGGGGATCAAAACCTGACTGATTTGGCAACAGTCAGATACTTTACCACTGAGCTATCAGCTCCTGGTAGAGAGGAAGGCGAATTTTTACATACCTATTCTTCAAATAAACATGCCAATGACCAAGAGAGCTCAATTCATGGAAGAGCTTTGCAGTAGTAGTCATTGTTTACAAAATTGTGCTTTCTCTGCAGAGTGCTTGACCATATATATATATATATATATATATATATATATATATATATAAGTTGGATTGGTCTATGACTGATATTGAGCATTTTCCAATAAGTACTCTTGCATATATAATATATAAATAATACATATAAGAAATTGCTTTTATATATATATATATATATATATATATATATATATATATATATATATATATATATATAAAACCTCATTTAAATAAAACAAAAAAATATTAATATACAACCCAGTGAGTCTGAAATTTTAATTTAACATTTTTTTATTATTCAAGACATACACACACTATATATATATATATATATATATATATATACACACACACACACACACACACACACACACTTAAGAAATTTGACCAATAGAAAATGTTTCATTGAAACTAGATTTGATTATATATATATATATATATATATGATCTGCAAAAGTACAGTAACTATTATACTAGTATTGATATATTTGCATAATCCATACGTTTTTCATTACTGTATACCTACTTTTGCATCCATCTGTTTATTAGTAATTTCAAAGGATTAATAAATATTTATCTGACATTATTTCCTACTACTTCAAACATTATTCTCTGTGTATATTCATGTATGGCTGGATTGTGACAACCTCTGTGACTGAGTGTTCTAAAGCACACAGGATCAGAATGTGATTTTTCCTACAAATGAGGGACACATGTGCATACCTTACCAGAGAGCGCATTTTTTTGGTATTAAGTCTCTTGAATGTGCAGGCCAGTAGATGTAATTCAGTTTTAAAAAACAGGATGTCTATTCAAACATGGGTATCCACAAAAAATAAGATTTAGTGTAGAAGGATATGTATTTTTATGTTCATATCACATAGAACACCAGTTCTCATCCAATCACCACTGAGCCCGATGAGTGGCCACTTGGGAATACAAGGTACTGTAAGCTTAGATAGATGTGCAGTTGGTGTAATGGATAACTGCTAGGAATGAAAAATCAGAGAGCCTACTTCAAATTCCAGTTGAGTTCTTACATTCACTTATGCAGAAATACTCTGAAGAAGGCTATGAATCCATCACCCTCCCCCACTATGAGTAAATAGCAGGACAGACTGAGTTTTATAGCCATGGATGACAACCAGGCTTGAGAAAAGAAAAATCAGAATCCAAATCAGCTTGGAGAAGATTGGTAAAGGGCAGATGAGCTTCTTTTGGAACCAAGGGTCAACATGCAGCTAGGAGATAGAAAACTTCTAAGAAAAGCCTGTGACTGTAGTGCATCAACTGACATGTGGAACACAGTGCACCAGTACAGGACATGGTGTTATGAGGGAGACACAGCCTTCATCTGCTGTTCTCAATATCTCAAATATTAGGGGACTGACATGCACCTCAAGGTAATATCAGTTAAAAAAAAGGTTAATAAGCTGATGTAGGCAATAAAATATATTAAATATATTTTAAAAAAAAAAAAAAAAAAGTTTCTTAAATGTTCTTTACGGAAATGTTCGGATGGAATCTTCCATAACCAAATATCACTCTCTTCTAATTTTTACATACAGAATCATAAAAAAAGAGAAAATATGGAAACAAAGTGAAATCTTGATTACTCAAACTTCTATTAATTAGTATATTAATAGAATCATGAAAACAATATTAATAGAATCATGAAAACAAAGGGGGAAAATTAAAATAATTTCTCATACAAACCCATTTTGGAGAGCTAACTTGACAAAACCTTTCCGTTTTTTAAGGTTTAAAATAAATTTGCCAGGGTTTGCTTCCAATGCTTCTGTTGCACCACCAATGACAATAACCAAAAAATTGCCTTTTTCTTTCTGTTGCAGAATCCAAGACAAACTGCGCTTGGATACAGAACAACAAGCTGAAAAGAGGATGATTCAACATTAATATTAACTTGAAATTTCTTTTTCTTTTTAATTAAAAAAAAAATTTAAAAGACATTGGTATACAGCTATAGGATATTCCATGGCAGTTTATCAAATTTTTTAGCAGCCCTACATTAATATATATAAGATACTACCCACAAATTTCAGCAGATTACTTGTCCTAACACCTAACTTTCTCCTTTGAAGTATTCTTTTTGCTTATAATAATCCCATAAAGTGTAGTGCTAAAATTGCTGTTCAACTTTTCCAAACTTTTGAATAGCATGTGTGTTTCAAGATACACTGATGAAATATAACTGCCCTAATACTCCAACATCCCACAAGAAATACTAATGGAATCAATATAGTTTTGGGGTTGGAACATTTTTTGCCCTTATTACAGATGTATACAGAGTTTAAATATAACTGGTAGTGCCTGTGAAAATTTCATGGTTTTCCTATTTTAATTTTATGATGAATCATAATTTTTAAGTTAATGATTGAATAAACTCCTTGTGAGTTCTACAAATAAAAATACCCATGGAAATTCGCTTATTGCATTGTTAACAACTTTATCAAACATTATTTGGACTATTGTCCTCATCTTTGTCACCATATTTATAACAACGTTTCGACTGTTGTATGCTCTGGCCTTCTTCAGGTGGTTGGAATGTCAAACTGAACCATTTATTTCGCTCACTGGAGTAGACTGTTCTAGTTCCACGTGCCATGTTTAATGGATGTCAGTTATCAGTTATTCCCTCTGAAAGTTCTCCACTGCCTTAACTGGGTATTGAACTCACACTCTTTAGGTCCTGTCACTAGATTTAACTAACATCTTTATCCACTGTGCCATGTGTCCTTGAGGTTAGTTAGATCCAGTGACAGGACCCAAAGAGTGTGAGTTCAATACCCAGTTAAGGCAGTGGAGAACTTTCAGAGGGAAATTAACAGGAGATAACTGACATCCATTAAACATGGCATGTGGAACTAGAACCGTCTACCCCAGTGAGCGAAATAAAGTGTTCAGTTCGACATTCCAACCACCTGAAGAAGGCCGGAGTGTACAATGGCCGAAACGTAATAAATATGGCGACAAAGATGAAGACAATAGTCCGAATAATGTAAAATAATGTACATAATACCTCATCTCAGAAATATAGACAGAAACTTTATCAAAATATTGCAATAAAAATAAATAAATATAATTGTAGGTCATTATTTAAAGAAATAAAAGGGTAAAAAGAAGATTCAAAATTGACATATTTTTCACCGACATTAAAAATAATTTGCAGACATTAAAAATATAAGAGCATTACAGCCTCTTCTATATTCTTTTTTTCACCTTGCTGAAACAAAACATTTCAGGTATGTCTTTTCTATTTTTTCTCATAATCAAAATGGAATAGTTCATTATTGATGCAATATCGGCAGAATGTAAAATACATACAAAGTAACAAGCAAAATTGTAATATGATATTTTATTATGCAATGTGTATACAAGTTGCTTTTGTGTGTCACCAACAACCTTTAAAATTCTCATTTGTTCATTTTTTGAGGGTTATTTAAAGCCAGAAAATATTTTTAGATTGTAAGAATTTTTTTAGAGATAATAATTACTGATACAAGCCCTACTATTTAATCCATAGCTGGGAGGATAATGGGTGGATTCATACCTTTCCTATGGATATATGTATATAAGTGAATATAACAAACAGAACTGGGATTGAAACTGAAGTCTCAGATTTTCAGTTGCCAATTGTTTTTACACTACCAACATATCCAAGCTTACAGCATCTGGTATTCCCAAGTGGTCACTCATCTAGGTACTTACCAGGCTTGACATTGCTTAACTTCAGTGATCAGATGAGAACCAGCATTTCAACATATGATTGTAAGCCTTAAGATTCTAAACCCACAATGTTATCTTTTAGATGACATAGACAAACTAATTAGTTATTTCACTAGAAAGAGGCTCATTTATTTTTCGGGCAAGGTTTTAATACTTTGAGTCATTTATTTTTATTCATTGGAAAGAGGCTTAATCTTGTAAAGCATTGATATTTAAACTTGATTAGGTACATTGTGTCAGACATAGTTTAATGAAAGGAAATCAAAGATCTCTACATCCTTTAAATCAATGGTAAAGTTACATTTTTTTTATTTAAACAACAAAGACATTTGCTAATCTTTAATTTTAATCAATGATGCACTCACCTGATGACCTTCATAACTGATAAGGCCTATAAAAGTAACTGATATATTTATATGCAAGAGAGGGGGATGTTTATAATAAGGTCTGATTTTTTATGTAGTATTTTAGGACAGATGCTACAGAAGGTGTTAAGCACTAAATAAGTTCCTAAGAAAAAGAATCAAGTAAAGCCTTAATGCTGTATTATAACTAGTAGGAACTATGGAAATTACAGGGATTTACTAAAATATTTTTGATACTTTTCAGTCTATAGATTTTCCCAGATAGTTATAAAAAATGGCATAATCTCTTGAAAATATTTAAATGTCCTCAACATATAAAACATGATTTAACCTCCCGCTACAAACTGCCTGCCTTTATCTAAGATGCGCCCCCCTCCAATACCTCTCTGTGTCTCACATTTCATTTTGTCTCACTATGTCCTTCTCTCTGTTTCTATTTCTCACTATTTCTCCCTCTCTGATGCTTAACAGTCTGGTTTTAATAGGATTTTTAATTAAAAGAATAAATTGAAAGGACACAGAACATGATTTAAGCCCTCAACTACCTTTATCTAAAATGACCCCACCTCCAATCCCTCTCTGTGTCTCATTTTCTTTTTCTCTCTCTATGTCCTCCTCTTTGTTTCCCTCTTTAGCTCCCTCTCTTTTTCCTTTTCCCCTCTCAGATGCTTAACAGTCTGGATTTAATAGGATTTTTAATTAAAAGAACTTCATACATTTTTATTATGTTACAAATTATTAAAGAAAGATTTTAATTTCAAAAGGTCACTTATAGTTCAGGGACACATTTATCCTCAAGAGATTGTTAGGACACAAAACTTGATTTAACTCTTCACTACAACCAACTGCCTTTATCTAAGATGACACACCCATCCCTGTGTGTCACACTCTTTTTGTCTCCCTCTTAGTATCTGTGATACCAAATGTGACACACACACACACACACACACACACAATACATATGTACAAGCATATTAATATATAGATAACCTTGGTACTGGTGAATTTTCCAAACTATACATTTCCATCAAGTTAAAAGGAGGCAAATGTGAAAACTTACTCAGAAGACCTTTTTCCAGCAATGAAACTAAACATTGAGGAAGGAGAGGATTTGGTTTAATAATATGCATTGCTAATTCTACCACTGGTATTCTTTTAGAAATTTGGCCAGTTTTAAATTAGTAATTAATTAAATTATTCTATCTGCATATGATGTGTGGATAGAATCAATATTTTTAGCATAAAAGAAGAATTGACAAACTGTGTGCAAATCCTGGCCTCGACAAGACTCCAACTTTTCTTCTCCAGCTTTCAATTAAATTGTAGGGTAGACTGAGCATGCTAGTTTTGAATGGCAATCAGTCTTTCAGAAAGAAAATTATGAATTCCAAACTATAAATAAGTCAACAGGAAAACACTATCTTTAACAGGACAGTTATGATGATTTGTCGATAATACCAAAAAGAAATCTGTGAATAGTCATTTTCATCCTGAAGGAACATGGAATTTTAAAAAAAGGACTTTTTTAAAATTTGGTTAATATCATTTGTTAAAATTTGGTTGGTTGATTTTGTTCAGCAGCATATCAACCACTTTGGGTTATTTAATACCAAAATCTAAATAATTTGAACAATTTTATGGCTTCAACCAAGTATATTTTGAATACAATTGTATTCCTTCAACTACAGCTAAAATGTATTGCTAGTTATTTTGCTTTAAAAATCTATTGTTAATTTTATTATATATATTGTTGGTGCTTTTTTATATGAAATATATTGCTGGTATTTTTACTATAAAAGTGTATTTTTATACTTTCAGTGTTTTGTTGGAGGAGAGGGGGTCACTATTTGCCCATAGCTTGATCCCTAACAGATTTTACCACCTCATGTTAAAACAAGAATTCTCTGTAGAGAGTCATGTTTATCTATATGCTGAAAAGATTTTTTTTTTTCAAAATTTAGTTAAATATCATTTGTTAAAAAGGCCTGATTAAAACAAGATTGAAGACTATGTAATAATCAGGATTTGGGATTACATTTGTTATAAGATTAGATGCAAGTTTTCTATTTTAGAATGTGCATTTATTTGTTTTTCTTAATTTAGTCAAATAAAAAGGAAAAGAAATGTGTAAAAAATTAACAATTGAACTATAAAATATGCCATTCATTGCATTTTACAAACACTAAGTAACTGATATTTACTAAGGTTGTCTTTGTACAGAACAAATCCAAAAGAAAGAAATTGGGATTAAAAAGGTTGTGTATTTTAAGTGGGTAGATGGATTTGTTAATGATCTGCTTACCTTGAAAATCAGCATTTAAAATCATGCTTTTTACCTAAATTTGTACCTCTGTTTCTGCCACCAGTGAAAAATATACAATTATCTTATCTCTGAGGCAGGTTAAGTATACCAGAGCTTCATTATTTCAAGCAAACTCAAAACACCATTAACTAGTTTCTTCTCTTATTTTCTGTCTCCCATGGTTTTCATTAGCGCTTCACTTCCCAAACTTGTTGACTCACAAGACAAGCAATGAGCTATGAAGAAATGGAGTTACTAGTCACACTGGGTTTCAATTAGTTTCACACTTACATTGTAAGTACAATTCAATGCTAGTGCTCGCAAATCCTACTAGCAACTGCAGCATTCAGCTAACTAGTATCAGTTGATCCACCCCATTGTAGTTGGCTGTGTTGCTTATCTGTCATCAATTACTGCATAACAAGTCAATGTATCAGTCTGTTGAAGTTTGTCTATGCAACTGGACTGATGCTGCCTGCTCCAAATTTTATATCATTGAGGTTTGCTCCTCTACATGACTATGGTTTTGCCTGGCTCTTACCTATTGACCTATCTAGTTAGGTGGGACCTTGCCAGGAGATAAACTCCCGTCAGGATAGATCTCTAGTTCATAGTAACATGCAAGCCACTAAACCACACCAAGGTACTTAATCATATGAAATAATAAGTATTGGTTTATCCATGAAGGAATTTAAATGTTTAAAAAAATAAATAAAAAAAAACAAAAAAAAAAAAACACACTATCATCTTTAATTTAAGAATTTCAAAAATTTTTATTGAAAAAAAAAAAAAAAAAAAAAAAAGGAAAATTTTAAATTAAAAAATATCTTAAAAAAAAAAAAAAAAAAAAAAAAATTCTCTCAAGGCATTTAAAATATTAACCAATTACAAAAATTAAGTATATGATTTATTTTTTAGTTTAATACAGTTGTTAATTATAAAATGTCATAAGATGAGAATAGACAAAAACTTACCAGAAGACATGAGATATTCTCTGTAGAATGGGAACCGAAATTGTCCAGTCAAGATACAAAGGTAAGGTTTTATCTTTGGGAAAATTTTATCAAAGCGAGTTGCATAAGTAGCAAAGTTACAAAAAGCTCCAGCACTCATGATCCCATGCGGATGATAGCCAACAATATAATTCTTGCATGGATCTAAATCCGTTGTTTTGATGAGTTTAATTGGGAAATAGTCTCGGAAATATTTCCAAAGTGGATTGTGCATCTGAAATTCAAAACGTCTTCCTCCTTCCTCAGCTTTATTGTAATCATATATGTACCAGGCAAGGTAAGCAAGTGGTATGTAATAGAATCGAGTGAAAAATAAATAGACGAAGAGCCCAAGACAGGAGAAGCCAAGGAATAAAAATGAAAGTGTCCATTGAAAAACAACTGTGGTTTGCACACGTCTTTCAAATGGAATGAATAAGGGGGCAAACTCAAAACCCCAAATCTTCATTTTGACTTTTCTTATCTGTAAAAAGAAATAAAAAAAAATGGCAATCCTGAAATCATACATTAGGTTTCATATGTCAATACTAAATATAGATATAACAGCTTTGCTTTAATTTACCTGAAATGTGACAGGATGATATAAAAGGTAGGGAAGAACAAAGATTGGTTTTGTGCTTTTACAAAAGAATTTTCTGTTTCTGTGTCTGTGGTGTGATCATGCTCAAATGACAAGGTCCATAGACCTAAATTTGGCATGAAGACTCACTTGTGACAGACTATGTGAGGTTGATCTTGGAAGTCATTTGAGGTTGTATGTCATTTCAAACCAAATGATGTTATTTCATCATTATTTGGTTTCATGCTTATTTGTTTCAGCAACAGCCACATTTTTTTTGTTTTTATATAATGTAAATAATTTTTTTTTTATTTCATTTGTTTGTAAAATGAAGAAATATATTAAAAAACATATTTTTTTCAATGTTATATTTGAACTTATTTTCTGTGTGGCAAGAATTTGCATAATTACGTAATTTTTGGTAAACAAGAGTAAAACTTTCTTAATCCGAGACTGTTTCTTTAAAAATAGTTTCAGATGCCAATATCATTCTTAAAATTTTAAAATATACAAGGTGCAATGGATAAATTGGCTCCATTTTACACTTTTAATGTCACGCACACACATTGTTTTTGATTTTGTTGACTGCACAGTATAGTAGGGTCATTGACACAATTTACTCAGCCACAAATTTTGAAATGGCATACTGTACTGCTTGGCATTCGCACTGGAACCTCCAATACAAACATTTCAGAGTATTTGGGTGTCAATCTGTGGACAGTGCAGAGAATTCAGAAAGAGTTGAATGATATATCCAGTCAACATCATGGTGTTTGGAGTGATCACTAGTGATGGCAACATTATGCCTCCATTCATCTTCCCACAGGATATCAGACTCAACACAAAAGCCTACATCAAGTGCCTTGAAGAGGTAGTACTGCCCTGGGTTAAGAGGGCAATTGCTGAAAGACCCTATGTCTAGCAACAGACAATTTCTGCAACCACATCACCCCTTACATATGACCACTTAACTCCCTAGACTGCAACCCTTTGATTATTATGTATGGAGTGCAGTTGGACAAGGAACCAACAAAATTCCTTGTAACACTAAAAATGGACTGAAGGCAAGGATTATGGCAGCATTGATCAACTTAAACAAGGACACAGTCCAGAAGAGATGCAGGAGATTCTGAAGTTGTCTGAAGGTTGTGGTTGAAGCCAATGGAAATTTTATTGAATAAATTTACTCTTTAGTATTTAAAAGATCTTTTTATGTAATTTTGGTAAATATAACTGTTAAAATGAGATGTCAGTGTTTCATTTTTTGTGAAATTCAGACAATTTATCCATCGCACCTTGTATCTCTTAAAATTTGAATGTTAAATGACATTTTTTTAAACAAATTGGAGGTTTCTTCATTTCTTTGTTGTAATCTGTTTTAGTTTTCCAAAGTTGGAATCTTGTTTATAGCATTTCTGTATATAATATCTATACAACAAACTTGGGAAATAAAGGAAAAAAATACTAAATGATTGCAAAAAAATTGATGGTACAAAGTACAGCAACTGCATTATCCAAGCTTTTTTGGCATCTTCTAGTCATGAAAAAAAAAATAGAAATACAGTAAGAAAATAGTTCTATAACCAAGAAAAAGAAATCAGGTCAACACTTTTTAGTCAATATTCAATGGCTTTTTTATCAAGACACTAGAGATAACAATAGAAAAACATAGTAACAGAAGATGGCAGAAGATAAAGGGGTCAGAATTTGTTTCTGGAACCAATTGAAATGATGAATGTATAATCGTAACTTTTTCTTAAATATATCATGACAGGTGATGAAAAGTGGGTTGCATACAACAATATTCAACACAAAAGGTAGTAGACTGACAGGAAGAAATCTCCACAATCAATCCAAAAGTTGAGCTCCATAGAGGAAAGTTAATGTTGTGCATGTGGTGGGAACAATAAAGATGAGAACAACAGTTTGAATAAGGTAAATAATTACAATACCTCATTACAGAAATACAGACAGATGTGGTAGGAACATAAGGTTATTATTCATTTAGAGTTCTTAAAATGTAATGAAGCTCTAAATGCATATTTATATGTCTAGCAGCTGCAACGTGTCCATAAACGTTTAGTTGAAAAGTGCCCTGTGCTCATCAACAGAGAAATTTTGTTCTCCCTGACAACACAAAGCTGCATACAACAAAAATAACACAGGAAAAAATTTTGCAACTCAGTTGGTCTGTCCGACACTGCCCACCATATTCACTCACCATTATACCAATCAATCATTACCTTTTTCAATTGTTGAAAATGCTTTGATTAGAAAAGCTTTAATAAAAACCAAGTTCAAAAACATTTTCACAACTAAATTTATAGAATTTTTCTCAAAACGTATCAGAGAGTTCCTGATAATTGGCAACAAGTCAATTGCAAATAATGGTGAATATATAATAATTGAACAGAATGTAATTTTACCTTATTTTTTGAATGATAAAATTGATAAACCAAAAGGGAAATTATTATCAGATATTTACTTTAAACTTCTTGTAAAGTATTTCCAGATTAGGAAAAGAAACATATACAAGGAAAAAAAATAGTATTGCAGAATATGAACACTTGAACAAAGTAAAGAAAATATCACCTCTTCTTTGTTTCACAGGTTAATCCAATGAATATTCCAGAATCTGTAATAACAAAAAGATTTCTGAAAGAAAGAGTTCAGGTGCAAAAGTTTAACAATACACTATAGTGAAAAAAAAAAATAAAATGATGTGGCTGAATAATCCACAAGCAAATTCATACTACATTGTCATTTTTACTTTGATCTGGTTCTTAATCTGATCCAGTTGTCATCCACTTCAAACCTTTTATACGTTACAATTTTAGATGAATAAATATTACACTGTGATGTCAACAGAATTGAATAAGTTTCAATGTAATGTATATTATATCAGTAAATTCACAGCCTAATCATGAAAAATAAGAATTGTTTTACACATTTGGTTTTTAACATAAAAACCAAACTTTTCTTGTCAATGCACTTGATTTAATGATGACTATTAATCGTATCAATCAAACATTATACAGTGAAAATTTCAGATCAGGGCTGGGTTGGATAGGTTAATGTTGTGACCTATCAATACTTATTCATTTATTTAATGTCAAAATCTTGAGTAAAAAGTTAAACATCAGCCCAGTTTACTCATGAACTGAAAGGTAGACGTTGGCCCAGTTTAAACTCATATCTGCAACCAACCATCTGAAAAGTGACCCTTTTTGGGGGGGAAGGGGGTACCTCTCAGCAGTTAGTATCTTCTATGCATTGTTGAAACAATAAATTTCAGATCAAAATTAAGGAAATAATAACTGTGTTTCCAGCTATAAATTTAATGATCCACTCTTGCAAGTAGGAGGTGGGGATGCTCATTATAAACCAATGGTTAGTGAGCTTCTATCATGGATCACTTTGCAGCTTTATTATTGTGCCTTTGCACCAAACTAACATAAGTTTAATAAATGTCATTGAGTAAAATAGAGCTTTTAAAATCCTCCTCATGAATAAAATTATAAACATTTGTCATTTGAGATATTCAAAAATATTCTTAAGGGGAGATCATTCTGTTAATACCGATGAAGCATTAATTTTGTATATGTATGTACATATTTTGTTATCTCTACATACAGCAGATTGCAAACTAACACTAGATAGTTCTCTCCAAAAAGCTGGACTTTTAGTGGCCATACTTAGTTTTCTTCTAGTTGCATGTACCTCACTAGTCAGATCAATGCTGCTAAATTAGTCTGTGGCCACTGAGCCAATCTCTTGATCATGTGGCAAGAGTCTGGAGATCACCTCCACTGTCTGGAAATCTTTGGTTTCATTCTTGTACTAGTTTTAACATCTTACTCTTGTATACAGACTTAGAGCAACTTGAAAGAAGGTGTTGTACCAACACAAAAAAGTGTCTCTCCTCCATGAGGCAGTTTTACTTGTGCCAAATACTAACCTGGAATTTATACCTTCACAATATGGTACTTATACTGAAGATTTTCTTTCTCCAAGAACAACTGCTTTCACTAAGAAGCTCCATCTACTCCATAAGTGCATACATTTTCACTCAAATAGTAAAAAAAGAACTTTATAATGGTAAATGGTAATATTAGCCATTTCCCTATAAAGAAACATTTGGCAACCATTAACCAAGCAGCCAGTACAGATTCCAGTTGAAATTTATAAAATATTTCTCTTAAAACAATATTTCAGGAAAATAGGTTTATCAAGTCCAGTAGCTGTTATTACTCTTTCCAGTACTTAGTTTGCCTTCCTAACCTTTTATTTGAAGTAATGTGGAATGTCAACATCTTATGTCATTATTTTCTCTTCGAGTCACACGTGTTAATCATTTTAGTCATTGCTGCTGTTGGTACAGCTCTTTGTTTGCAATTCTATAGTGTCAGTTC